TACGATGTAGCCACGCCATTGTGTGATTACACCGACTTGTGTAATCCACATCTTTGTACGGTCACACCATCTTGTGTGACCCACCCTTTCATACAAGGGTACCTATAACCCCGTTACACGGACTCTCTATTCATGGCGGGACTGTTATTGACGGTCGTCGTACAGGTGCGGTTCGCATTGAGACCTTTTAGACCTGTTCAACCTCTTTCCGAGATAATTGCGGAGCACACCCTGCGTGTCTCAAGGGCCGATTGGAAAACAGAAGGTAAAAGCTCTACGAACGCGCCGGAAGCAATTGAAGTCAGCCGTATCTAGGATGTAAACAGCGATTTCTTAGCTGCTAAGCTTACCATGGTACTCGCAGGTATAACATTTGCGCCTGAATGCCTGAATTTGTTCAATTGAGTGGTATAGCGAGTTGAGCACCCACGCAGGGTCATACGAAGAACTATCGAGGGATTCCTCGAATCGCGCTCTTCAACTTAGAAATAGTAAAAAATCATTGCACCTCCTGGGTGTCAAACTAATGAGACCCGGTTTTGAAGTAAAAAAACGAATTCCTCCAAGGGCTTTTGCAACATGTTTGCCTTGCAGTTTGCGCAGGAAGAGCTCTGACTAAGGAATGTCGCGCTAACAATGTACAAGTGGTGCAACGCGGTTGCTGTATTTTTGCACAGCGGAACCTTAGTTCGCTTTAACTAACGCACGAAATTCGGACTCGTTTGCTTCAATCAGGATGGAACTCGAGAACCTTGAATTTGATTTGCTATTTGATTTGCTCTACTTTCATCAGGTAACTAATTTATGAAGAATGTCTTTTTACACAAACATGAGCGGAACAAAAAGCCTCTGACGCAAACATTTGTTTTTTGCTTTGCCATTTCAGATGTCAATATACATATAGAGAATTTTGTTAGGCTGATACAAAAACGTACGCTTTACTATTAACATAAAGAACTGCGTCGATCGGTCAGAAGCCAAAAGCCAGAAGCCAGCTTATTCACGGACCTATTCTTCACGTAGCCCCATTATCTTCTTATATTCGCAAATTTACAAAGTGCAATGTAAACTTCGTACAGCTGTACAACAATGTATTTATCGCAATGAAAACAAAACTGGAAGGCGAAATACACAAGTTTACAATGAGTGTCCAAATACACCCCCCCTTCAATTTATAGGCACTACTTCAAAGTTCTTTCAAGGCTCTGCGCAAAAGTACCCGGGCCACAAGCAACCACTGCGTATGAATGCTAGCTCCGCCCTTTGCAGTCTATCGTTTCTACCCCAAGCTTATATCCGCTCGAGAAGTTTTCCCCTTTGCATTGTAATAAATGGTTCAAATCGCCTCCATAAAGGCGCATCGTGACACCAGTAGTCAATTCTCCGTGAGGTCGCCAATATTTTTTTGATATAATCGGCCAACCTTCGAATCCTAAGTAGTCACTTCCGCCCTCACCCGATGATAAACGGCTAAACCGTTGAGCGAAGGACTCTTACTGCACTCAGTCTCCCCCAGGTATGAGCCACGTACTTTGTGACTTTTTCCGTCTGCAGGAAGTGTTACGACACCTTGTTGTGTATACCGTCACTACTCCGCTGGCCTGGTTCAGGTAGTCCAGCTTAATCAACTGGAAACAGTTTTGAGCTCTATGAAGTTACTCGCCACGTCGGAATAGAGCAAAATATTTCTATATGTGCAGGTATTTTGTTCACACCGAGAGCATACCGACTGCCAAAGATATGCTTCGAGAGCTTTTGTCTCAACCCAAAGGTCATTTTCTCTCAGGACTAAAATTTGGTTGGAAACCTGTACCCCCAAAGGATGCACCGCCGATGTTGAGGGTAACGGCGATTATCAATTCACGCGCAGGGCGAGAGAAATACACTGTCTCATTTGTTTATAATCTTACCACGTCGGCTTCAGCGAAACGGAACTCCAGTTATGGTGTCGACTTATGTATGACATCGCAAAGCACACAGCGCGATGCAGAGATTGAGGTGAGATCTCGATACTTTCATAATTCGTAAATTGCAGCCTGTTCGTCTACCTAAGTCAGCTGTTATAGTTACCAAAAATGGTCATAATTACCATAAGGTCGGTCTCCATTCGCTCTTGGGATTCGCGCTGCGGCGGGCAACCCTGCCTCTTCTTTAAGAGAGAAAAAGCTGGGGAATAGCACAGACAAGGGGCCACGCCACGAAAACAATCTTGCTAAAGTGAAATTTTCAACCTGGTATAGGTTCCGGATGAGGGTTTCCCTTCCACTTTGCCTAACATTGGTAAGAGCCCTGGTATTCTCTTAAATGCTTCACAAGAAATTAGGCCAATCCTTGGTCATCGAGCAGTGTCGGCGAAAGTACACCCTTCTGCAGCTGCCTTTAAGAATCTTCCTCGGCTGCGATAGCACGTCAGATCTGTCCAAAATCTCTTTAGCGCATTCGAAACTGAAATGAGTAATTTCAGATCCACTCTCGGACTTTATTATCACAGCGCGTACCCCCAGTGGATGAGAGCCGCGTCGCTGCTTTGGAGCAACGGTTAGCCCAGCTACAAGGAATCCTAGAGTTGCAATTTCGTCTACAACAGAGCCTTCTGATTCGTAAGAGCGTAAGCATGGTGTATTTTAATAAGTTCCGTAGATCACAGCATGCGATCATATTCACTACAGTTAAAACTTAATCATATTTTTGCAACGACAATGAGTGGTCCGATGTAGCGCGGTCGACACAGACTTTTATAACTGCAGCATTGTATGTGTAGGTAGGCTAACTGCATTCAATGAAAGCTTTTGCCTCGCAACATATTCGCATATGTTTTGCTTACCATTGGCATCAGCCTGTTGATGCCGAGGCGTATCCTATGAAAGACTGTCGCTATCGTTGAAAGAAAAGCAACGTTTTTGCTACGAAGTGTAGATAATAGCAGGTCAGCTTGAATCAACAGCCTCTCCTCCCAAGACGATTTTGTGTTTGTGAGAAGGAGCAAATATATCCAGTTATACAAAAAATAGTAAAGCGTGTAGAATCAAGTACAATTTTCCTCAGCGGAGACTCAACGAGTGGAAGCAATTTGCCCTAGCGCCGTGCTCCCTCCGCGCATGACAAAAAAATGTGTTACCTTAGCGTTCCGTCTAACAATTTGGTCTGAGTTGAACATGTCCAATCAGGCGCTCATCACCATGAACAAAGTTAGCCAGAAAATAGCTACTACGCACGATTCTCGATCTGAAATAATGGCCAGAAAAACCCATGTCATTAAATACTATAGCTTGGCTGTAACCTCATCGGAAAGGGTCTCACTGATAGCCGCGAGACGAGGCATCTCGTTCAGACCGCCACACATAGACCACAATGCCAGTAAAACATGAACGCGTCATTTGTAAGACTAACGGTAACTACATAATAACAGAATATCAATGTTCAGCTGGAAGGGTTGACTGATCGAAAAGGGTGCTGGGAGCCCACTCATGTGGCAAAGATTAACACGCTGACACGTGTCACATGTGCGCATATAATTGATTACTCAAGAGTGACATAGCGCTCACTGAGCTGTACGCTTTACGTGTACGAAAGCGGCTTCATGGGAATTCCATGTGCCTCAAAAAGCGTTCTGTACTTGGGGTCCTCATCATGAGACAGCACTACACGCTGGATGTCATATGGGAGAAAGAATGATCCATGGCATTAACGATAGCTTTAAGATTCTCTAGACATATCGTTTGCCATGAATCTTCGTCAAGGCTTGCTTTGCTCGATTTCGACAGAGAGTCTCATCCCCTGTATCATGCTTTCTGAAGTCCAATTTGTCAAAACACCATTTTCGGATGAGCTATCGCCGTACGTGGAATAATGTGATATGCCACCATTCTTTAGCTGTGATAATCGGCATTAATCGTTTAACATCAATTTTTTCTTCAGTACAAAGACATCTAAACCGGAAGCGAGGACAAGTCGACAAGTGGCAAGCGCCAACATAATTGTATATTAGTTATTACTAGTCGCAGGGCATGTATACCATGCAGGAGGAGATATGTGTTGGTTATCACTAGTCGCAGGGCATGTATACCATGCAGGAGGAGATATCATCGTCTCGATGTAACCTTTCGAATTAATTTTCTTTCCTGCTAGCGCAATTTCAAACAAAGTCTACCGACTGTGTACGCCTATTTGGATGAAAGATCAAAGCTGGACAGCTCAAATCAATAACCACTTCGTAGCACTTATCTAGGGAACAGTGCGTTTAGCAAAAGAAACACTGTTAAAGAAGTAACGGAGATGGAGATGACACATCAGACAACAAGACGGAACATGTTGTCGGCCGGAATTTGTAGCTTGCACCGTCGAAAGCTGGGACAAAACCGAGTTTCGCCTTTTATTTCTTAAAGATGACGAACACCACAGGTACCTGTGGACAACTTACACTGACAGACACAAATGGAAGACAAAGAGTTCAGAGCGGCTGCAGCGTGCTCTGCTGTCACTCAAACTATCGCCTTGAGTATATTGAGCAACAAGATATGTCTTTTGGAAGAAAAAATAGTAACTAAAACTGTGACGAGTCTGAATTTCGAGTTGATGCTCCTGCACAAGTCCAGTTAAGGTGAACTTACCGTTCACAAGACTAATACTAAAGCGTAAAACGCTGTGCTTCTCACGGCGTTTTTGAGCTTGCTTACCTGTTTAATTTCTCTCCCGAGGAGGTGAAATCGGCGCGCCATTGGGTAATTCTGGAACAACACGTGGCGACACAACTGAAAAGAGTGGCTTAAAACCTTTGAAATCATCTCGATCAGCAGCTTATTTCCAAATTCTTTCATGCGAGTACACTATCGCTACGACTTAAAAATGTAAGTTGGCCACTTGGCCTTGTCATTAATATAAATTCACTTTACTGTGACGTTTCAGCACCCTAGATAATGTGCCTGTACATCAATTTCTACCGCATTTTGATTTTCAAAATTTGAGCGACATTTCTCAAATTGTTATCAATTTTCTAAAACATGCCAGACGGACGCCCACGCGTTGACTATGACCCGGCTGAAGTGGAGTTCACTGTGCGCGTTCTTGGCGACGCGAATGAGCGCGTTGTGTATCTCTTGGGAAGCGCAATGGAGATCGGTGCTTGGGACATCGAAAAAGCTGGTGCGCTTGGTCTTTAATCATTCTGCATTGAATATGATACATTGTCTAATTCATTCTTATATAGTGCCTATGGAATTGAAAGAGCAACAAGATAATGAGAGCAAGTGGAATTTAAACGTCAAGTTTGCATCGACAACCAGTACAATTGAGTATAAATATGTGGTGAAGCATTCGAAGACACACGAATTGCTGTTGTGGGAGGGATTACCTGGCAACCGGACACTTACAATCGCTTCTGGTATTAATGTTGCGCTGTAAGTTGCTGCTGATGATTTATGAACCTACTAAGCTGATCGATTTTATTATGAATAGAGGAGCCCCTTCGACTCAAAGCTCGACATTTACGACAACGAGTGCACCAGTTCCAGGACCTCGTGACGCGAAATTAGGCAATAACGGCAAAACCAATGGTTTTCAGGAGTGGCGCTGCTGCCGTACCAAGAAAGAGTCTAATCCGTGGTGGGAAGTGGATTTGGGCCACAATTACGTCATCTCTAGCATCCATTTGTGGAATGCAATGACGTATCATGAACAGGCAAGACATTTAGAGGGCCGTCCACCACTAACATCATGCACCTCTACATCGTTCTCAGCACCTCCTCTTTGGATCTTTGTTTCGAAGGAGCCGTTAGGACGTGGAGAAGATTCTTTTGAAGATGCACAAAGCAAGATTGCAGCCGGTTCTTCCTCTGTACGCGCTATACAAATGCCTTGCTCGTATGACAGCCGCGTTCGATCGCTCAATTTCGTTATAGACGCGCAGAGTGTAGAAAAGACTCCGAATGAAATGGACTGTTCTTCTAGTTCGGCAGCAACGCCTTTACCTCCTGTCGAAGGCCGCTACGTGCGACTGCAGCACGTAGGAACTTCTTGTGCTCTTCAATTTGCTGAGCTTGAAGTCTTTTCGCAGGATGCTGAGGTGACACTGGACGAGGAAAGACAAGCAAGATGCGCAACTCGCCGCCACATAGATGATGGATTCTTTGGTATCTCGAAAGCTTTGGATGCTGATTCCCGGGAATATATAGATAGTGGCTGGCTAAATCCCGATGGTGGATTGGCGGAGTTACAGATCTGGACCGGTAGCTTTAATGCAACTAGGCCGGCTATTCAGTGGCTGGAAGATAGAGTTGGCTCAGGGCGTGTGACCGTTGTAATGCGTCATGAGAAACAAATAACGAGGAGCAACGGGACAGATCAGAACGAAATCAAGTGTCAGTCGAAGAAGCAGCCTTTACTTTGTGAATGGGAGCCACTTCCGGTTGAGACTACGAGTGCACATTTGCTTGACAAAGATTCGACAGATCTGCGTCAGCTTTTGACAGCACATCAGGAGCTGGGTGGATCTGGCCTTTTGGCTTATCTGAACAATGATTCGATGTTGTCACCTCCGCCAGAAGCTTCGTCAAAATCGTCGTGGCTATCAAGATTGGCATTAGCTCAATCGCCAGAGATATCCAGCATAAAGGCCCTAGCTGACAAGACAATCACGCACAAGTACAACAAGGGCGACGATATATTGCAGTACTCAGAGCAAAAACATGCTGTATTTTACATTGATTCAGGCCACGTAGAGCTTATTGGTCCGCAATCATCAACGGGATCAAATAGAATTGGAGTAATTCAACGTGACTCTATCTTCAATGAACTGGGACTCATGGGATATTGGTCGAGACAACCAACGTTGTTCCGGGCCAAAGACGATGTGACATGTCAAGTGCTGGATCTAGACGCACTTGTTGAAGCTCTAGGGGAGACTAAGGTGGCTATCATTCGTGATGAGTACATTCGAAGGACGTTCAAGTTGAAGGATTTGTCTGAGGACAACAAAGTACATTATACAGACGATACACATGTTCAGGTGTTCCGTGTTAAGGTGCCTGTGCCTGTTGTAAATGACCATGCGAACAATATTGCCGAACTTACACATCGCTGGACGTTTGAGTTCTACAATTTCGAAAAAAAAGCGAGTTCTGAAGCTTACCCTGACGATAAACTTTTAGGCTCAGCGTACCTTCTTCCGTCGCAACTTAATAGCCAAGGCGAAGCAGAATTAACAATTCCAATCTTTTCCTCCGAGTTGGGCATCGTCGGTCAGTTTACGCTGTCATACTTGACCTTGATTCCTTTTGTTCATCCCAAAAACAATATCGCAAATGTGTGGCGCTCATACTGGCGTGAACGACCGCCGCTTACAATTGGGCACCGTGGTATGGGCCGATCGTACTATCAAGTGAATGGACACCGTCTTGCGCTGACGCGAGAAAACACTCTGGCTTCGCTGATTCTGGCTGGACGCAGTGGTGCTGATTTCGTTGAGTTTGATGTTCAGTTGACAAAAGACCGAGTTCCTGTAATTTACCACGATTTTCTTGTTCACGTTGGTTTGGAAGACAAGAATGCCGGATCGTTTGGCACGAAATCCGAGACTTACGAAATTGGTATACACGACATGTCCTTTCGACAACTCACGCAGTCTTTCACGACTCCAGTGCCCCATCACGGAAGCGAAGGCAAACTATTGCAAAAACGAGTGAAAAAGCATTGGGCACGTTTACAAGGGGACAAGAAAATTTCTTCTCCAAGACGCGGCCCTTTTACGAGTGATGACAGCGCTAGCGACGACGACCATCTCGTAGAATTCTTTCCTCGTTTGGCAGATTTGCTAAAGCATGTGCCTGTGGAGATTGGTCTCAATATCGAAGTCAAGTACCCGGACCCTTTTTTTCACGCGACGATGCGAAGTTTGAGCTGTTTTGCTATTAATGGATATGTTGATAAGATCCTTCAGTGCGTCTTTGACTTTGCTGGCTCACGTCGAATCTTTTTTTCATGCTTCGATCCGAATGTCTGCATTGCACTTCGCGCAAAACAGGCCAAGTATCCTGTGCTGTTTCTAACGTATGGCACACTGGAACCACACGAAGTTGATGCGCGGATAACACTTCAGTTTGCAATCAACTTCGCTAAGATGGAAAAGCTACAGGGTATTGTATCCAACTCCAAAGCGTTCATCGATACGCCGGAGCTTGCACCGCTTGTTAAGAAAACGTTGGGCACTGTGCTTATCACGTGGGGTGATATGAATACAAACCACGAAATGGTCCAATTGCAGAAGCGTTATGCAATTGACGGTGTCATTAGCGACAATGTCATCGATCTTTTAAATCAAGACAAGAAGTTGTTGGCGATGGCTCAGTAAATTGCATATCTATAAAGCTCAGAAATTTTAACTTGGATATATATAAGTATCCGATACGATGTGTAAGAAAGACATTAATGAAAATATCTTACGGATACTTACATATAGTCATTTTTTTTTGAGATAACAATATTTGGATCTCAGTTGTTTTATTCAATAACTTTTTAGAAAATCTAACGACTGATAGAATGTACATCTCCCTTGCCTGCCTTTTAAGGTTCTAGTTGCTTTTTGTACGCTGATATCAAGGATCGAAAGCTCAAAAGTTCAATGGCAATCTCCAATCATCATATTCGACCCCATGTTCTTACAAATTAATACTTTACAATCGAAGGACACAACGGGAATAGGCAATTGTTATCAGGGTCGCGAGAAAGAGCCACTCCCAATGACGGGCACCATAGCGCCTCTTCAGTGCAACCACGATCACTGCTACTCCCGTCTATACTTTGCGAGTTTGAGCTTTCTTCGACCTGGTCGTTGTCACTCCAGTCTTCAAAATGGTCCGAATTCAAAGCATCGCAAGAAGCTGTGGCTGCTTCCTTTGCCATTGTTACAATCGCCATGACTATCCACCATAACTTTAAGCCGACACGAAGCATTCGCTTTTGATGCTAGTTGACTTAGCTTTTCCAGAAATGACGAGTTTCTGATATTATCTTATCTTTCTTCAAAAGTGAAACTTATTTTTAAGATGAAACTGGCATAATAGAAAACCTTGAAACAAGATATTTGCTACTATGGCGCAAGTCACGAGCATACAGTCTAAGGGTCTTTCGCCTCATGAACTAACAAAGCGTCGAGCTCTATTGGCTAAGATCGAAGATTTTGAGGCACGAGGCGCTATTTTGACATCTGACGCTCGCACTTTGCGTAGCCAGCTGCATGATAGTACAAGCGGCCAATGGAAAGCTGTTGAGGTGCGACTACAGCAACTTGCGCGTAACTGGAATCCATACCAGGATGACAATTGTGCGACGACCAACTCCTCGGGTACAAAGAAACGAAAAGTTGCGAAACCACTTGATTTCTATCAGCTTTTGGAACTCCAACATGACGCAAACGTCACCACAGAGGACATTAAAAGACAATTTCGAAAGCTTGCGCTGCAATTGCATCCTGACAAAAGGCGGACGAGTCGTAAGCGCGATCGCAAAAGTATAAATGATGATCAAGAGGACGAAGTTAAGAAGGAAGTTGTGGATACGACGCAATTTGCGCGGCTTCGATTGGCTTATGAGACGCTTTGTGATCCTTTGAGACGTACAGCATACGATGCCAAGCTGCAGGAAATTTATCACTTACAAGATTCTGGTGAAGTTGTAACAAAACAAGTCAAGCTAGAGGCTTCAACGGACTTTGCATCCTTGGAATGGATGGCACGTGTCAAACACAAAATGGATGTGATGGCACGGATTACAGAGTGGGCAAAATTGCTATCCCTTGATGCAAATGAGCTGCGTTTTGAGACGGGAGAGCCTTGTATGGGGAAAGAATGTGGTAAGATTGTGAGTATGGATCGTGATTTAGAGTGTTCTGGTTCTTTGCGTCGCCGTGTCTACATCTGTCTATTGCACAAGTATATACATGCGTGTGATGAAAATTGCACGAGCACATTTGGAGACGCTGAGCTTGATCGCCGCGTGTGTCGAATGCGAGCTTATTGGCTTATTCAGAATTGGCTTTTTGACCAGTTACAAGCTAGTGCCTTGCAGTCACAGTCGTTAAATGACATTTCCATTGAGAAAGCTTCTGGGAATGAGAAATTAAAGCGAGAAAGTTGTGAAGATTCCGCATGCAGGCCAACTTTACATGCGTCAGCGATTTGTGGCCTTGAGCCGTCGAATATTCATCTCGGCGATCAATATACGCGTTTTCAAATAAACAAAATAGCTGAGTGTCAATCCGATGTATGCCGAAGCAACTTTCAGTTTTTGGAAGAAGGCATATACGCTTGTCGTCATCACGGAACCCCTCACGTTTGTACATTTGATCAATGTGATCGACAAGAGCTTCACGTTGGTAGCTACATTTGTTGGGTCAGTGGAATAGTGTATGGTCGTGAACGGGAGCAAGTAGGCACTGATGTGCGTACACGACGTATTATCTATTCCGACGAACAAGGCGAAGACAGTACAGTCGAAATGGAAGTGCCTGTGATGCTTCCATTAGGCAAGACGACGAAGTATTTACTAGAAGGCGATTTATCGAGCCGTAATCTTGGAAATATGTCGTCGCTTTCACCACCGCCTCCCGATGAGAAAGCTTGGAAAAAGCATTTTCGTTGCAATTTGAATGGATTTGATATTCTTGCTGATAACTCCCGGTCACCTCAGCGTGAGTCGGGCAAGAGGTTTAAAAGGGACCGCGAACAAGAGCTAGAAAAGTCTCCAGTGCGCAAACGCTTAAATCAACGCTTGATATCCAAGATACAGCAATCCGAAACGACATCTTTCCACATTTTTTTGAAGTTACCTTCTGCAGTTGCCACACTGCCGAAAGTAGCGCTGGAGCTGGAAGAGACAACAGGCAGCTATCTTGACGATGATAATGACGCTACAGACAACAAAAACCTGCTACAGATCTTTGTGAATTCAAACCATACTGTCAATTACATCAAGTACTGGATGGAAGAGCTAACCGAACAACAACTTTCCATATGGGACCAGCAAATTTACTGGAGTGACACCCTGATTGGCGAAGAAACGAACGTGATGGTCTTAGAGGAACATGGTATATCGGTGGGTTGCGTATTAGAATTACGTCTTCATGACGACTGTCCATTGCTTTTGTCTACCTGGAATGGCAAGAGCGCAGCAACCGGTGGTTGTATTGAAGCTCCAGTAGAATACAACACGGTACAAATATCAAAAGAAGCAGCAGAAGAGCTGGATGATCTCTACAAAGAGTGGGAAAATGTAGGGGCTGTCGAGGAGCAAGCTTTCGAAGAAATTCGGTTAAAGCGACAGCGATTTAAGTTGCGTCGCGCAATTGAACATACTGAAGTACTTCGGTATGACGATGCCAAGTCTGAAGCACGACTGCTAGGTGTAATTCAAAAACAGGCTTTAAGTGTCAGCGATGACGGCAAGTTTAACCGTCAACTGCTCCCACAAAGTGCACATTTGCGAGGAAAGAGTGATTTTAAACGAGACTCAGCGATTATTGAAAGTGAAGTTCTGGTGAAGGAAGAACGAGAGCAGGTGTCAAGAGGAGTGGAGGCGATGAGATCAGTATCGAACGATGCACAACCACTAATTGGAGTCAAAAGTAAACGAGGAAGCACATCACAAAACACGTGTGTTCGACATACACATTTAAGTATCAAAGGTCGAGGCAAAGACTCGTCGACAGCTCTCAAACAGTGACATTGTAATCGCCGTGGATGGGGCGTGGAAGGCCACGCGAGCTCCCGCTCCTTTGTACAATGCTAAGACTCCCTCGGTTCTGCTCACCATAAATAAGCGCATGATTCAGTAAAGTTTGGAAGCAAAATACTTAAATGGACCTCACCTAACAATCTGCATGAAACCGTTAGCAATTCCATGATACGCTGCGGAAACTTCTTGCGGCGCG